TGAATCACAGGTTCCCATTATTTAAACTATTTAAACATCAAATATTGTTATATTTAAATATAAATCTATATTTCAAAACTTTCAATACTTTCCCAAAAGAAGATATTTAAACCATCAATTAGCCCGCTGTTTCTCTGGGTTTAAACCTCACGCCTCATGCCTCCAGTGCTGAGGATGTGAATTGTTTCCTGGCTTAACTGGCAGAGCTTAATCATTAAGTACACTTCAGAGTGCAAGTGTACCTGAAAATTATTGCTAAGGTGTAGAACAGAATTTTATTAACAATTAGTTTTTGGAGTGCTTAAAAGATTACACTATTTTCACTTTTATTAAAAGAGCTGAAAGAAACAAACAGCTATTTCTGCTTTTTTAAAAACATGAATGTAAGTGGAGTATTTAGGTACATATGCTAAACATGATACTGAAATATGCGGTGGATTTATGAATAATCAATTTTCTGGAAAAACCTTTGTATCTGAGGAATGAGTTGAAAAAATCTTTAAAGATATAATGAGTTTCAATGACTTTTGAAACCACGGGTAAAACAGTCCATAGATTATAGGATTTAAAGTGGAATTAAAATAACCCAGCCAGACAAACCCCTCAAAAAGAACAGGAGGAGTTGCAAAGTCAATATAGGGGTCGAGTACAGAGGTGATAAAGTAAGGCATCCAGCAGAGTATGAAGGCGCCTACAACAATGCCAAGGGTCTTTGCAGCCTTTCGCTCTGAGCTGTGAGTTTTCCTCTTCCCATTATTTTGTTTAAAACGTGGCTGTTGCCTCATATCTCCAAGATGTCTGACATGTTGTCCGGCTACCAGAAATATTTTAGCATAAAGGCCAATCATTACCGAACATGGCAGGAAAAATACAATCAGAGTGTTTGGGGTGCTCCACTGTGCGTTGAACAGAAGGATGCAGGTCCCCAAGCAATTTATGGAAGTGATGTATCCATCTAGGCCTGTCACACTGCCCTTAGAGTAAAGGAGACCACAGGAGTAAGAAGCAGCTGCAGCCCAGCTCAACGCAACCATCAGCCAAGCCACAGCAATGGTTACTGTGTTATGGTACCGCAGAGGATTGTAAACTGCCTGGTATCGATCAACCGCAATGGAAATCAGGTGGAATATTGAAGCACATGCGAGGAAAAAGTCGAAAGTTGAGTGCACTGAGCAGAAGGTATCTCCAAAGTACCAGCAGCCCTCCACTGATCTGATCATGCTGAAGGGCATCACGACGGCCCCCAGAAGCAAGTCGGCCAGGGCCAGTGACATAACCAGCATGTTGGTCGGTGTGTGCAGCTGCTTGAAGTGCGCGATGGAGATGATGACCACCAGGTTCCCTGTGATGGTCATGGTCATCCCCGACACAAAAAACATGTACAAGGCAAACCTGGCAAATCCAGAGTAGCTACTTTTAACACACGTTCCATTAGCTGCTGGATAGCAGTACTGGTATGTTTCCAGCTCTAGCGAAATGTTCATTTCTTTGCCACGAAGCAACACCAAAATAAAACGGCGTAGAGCTGTTGTCTTATAAGACCCTGCAATTGGCTGACATTCCTTCCAGGGTGTTTCTCTGCCTTGTGCCCTGGGCTTTCTGGGTTGGCTCCAAACAAACACTGCAACCCTCTACTGGATAAGCAGTTATGGATGATGAATGATGAGATGTTTTCTTAAAGGTGATGAGTTTTCCATCTCTTGAACATGCTCAGTGTTTTTCTTTTGGAAAGAACTTCATTTATGTACTTGAACATCCCCTTTGAGACAAGCAAACCTATTACTGCAGGTCACACAATATGCAGATGGGAATTTTTCTTTCATCTAATATAAATATATTTGCATATAGTAGGCATGGGGACAAGTGCCTGCCATGATTATCTGTGTGATTTACAGCATGACTCAGCATATCGACAAAGGAAGTAGAAGCCAGTTGTTTTCTTTATAAGAGATGATTTTAATTTTCATATCTTAAGTACAGTCTGTATTAGGTGTTAGTGTAAAGGAGTTAATGCCAATATAAACTGAAAGACTGAACAGGAGAGACATGCAAAGTGGACTGATTGCTCAGAGTTTTGTCAAAAGTATTTTGTGTTTCTCCAGCATCTTTCCACAGGTCTGAAGGTGACTGTGTTGCCATGGAGACTGGGAGCTGTATTGATTATGAACAGAAAGGTCCTGGTTACCTGAGAATACAGTCACAACACAGGAACATGAAAGAAATTCTTACCATTTGAGAATATATTGGCACTACTCTGTGTTAAAAAGATATTTATGCGTCATACTGATCAGCAAAGCACAGTAAAGAGAAACGATTATATTTGAAATAAAGTTTTGGTTATGAAATATTTATTATAAAAGGTAGCCTACCATAAAGTCATGTGCTATTAAAATTAGGCTTTGACATCAGCACTTAGTGCAGTTGATAGCAGTAATGTATCATAAATAGTGGGTCAAGGCAATATAGTATTACTCAGTAGCCAGTAGGGGGAGCTATATAATCATTCATCTATCTTCCACAATCCCGGTCAGGGTCACTGGGGGCCTGGAGCCTATCCCAGGCAGTGCATGCACAGGGCTGGGGTACAGTCTGGGTGGGATGTGAATTCATTACAAGGCACATGCACAGTCATGCACTGCTGGCAATACAGAGATGCCAGTTAGCCGAGTGCAGAGTGCAGCTCACTGGGTTCGGAACCTGAGTCCACGACTGTGAGCAGAGCTGGACAGACCGTCTGGCATACTGGGTATTTTCCTGATATTTAAGCCCAGTCAACTGTAATCATACTGTCCCCTCAGAAGCCTGGCTTGGAGAATATTCATACCGCTGTAATCATACTAGACTTGTAGTCAACACCGCCTTAACCAAGACACTACCTAGACCAGAGGGTATCGAGACCAAGACTAAGACCAAGACAGACCGAATCAAGACCAAGACAAAGTCGAGACGAGACCAAGACCGAGACCGAAAAAAAAGACTCTCTTTACTTTTCTGTGCTGTTGAGGACTGACATGACAGGTACTGACTGGTCCCAAAGTCATCTAGCTAGTCTGGAGCTAAAACCTCCAACAATTGTCTAAAGAATATGAAATAAGTAACTGATTTGATTTATACTTAATTTGTTGATGAAATTGTAACATC